TTTACTTTCCAATCTTACGGTCGATATATCCGAAAACAAACTTTTATGTGCATGTGAGAATTCGGAGTTTCTTTCCTGGATAACGACCCATAAAACGAATTATAAACACTTTGAATTATATCAGTGCTCAGTGGCAAGTTCCAAAACATTTAAGTTCTCCAACGCTGTTTCTTCTCTAAAGACTTTACGAGAAAACTGTAAATCATTTTTGTTGATTTATATATCTATTTCTGTTTCAGCTGCCTTCTTAATGGGTACGGTTATAAGTATTATCGTTGTGAAAAATAAATGGAAGATTAGATTTCTTATTTTCAACACTAAACAAAGATTCAAGAAATCTGGAGCCAATTCGAAGGGTTTACGACATTTGAAACATGAATATTATGCCTTTATTTCTTTTACTGACGACAAATATAATTTTGTTAAAACAGAAATGATCCCCCGTCTCGAAAATGAATCAAACATACGACTTTACATTCGTAATCGGGACGATGGGGGTAAAGAAGGACAACGTGAAGATGACATCATAATGGAAGCAATGCAGAAATGCAGTCGTATGATATGCTTGATTTCAGAAAATTATTTTAAATCCGAAATGCAGGTATTTGAAATTAATATGGGTAGGTGTGAAGGTGTACACAGAGGGAAGAGCTTAAACTTCATTCATATTGTTTTGTTTCCTGACGAAATAAAAGATGAAGACCTTAACAGATTGCAGAAAATTTTGAAGCATAATCGCCGCTCGGAGTATCCCAGTGAAGCATGTGGGTATGACGACTTCTGGGATAGATTAAAAAGAGCGAATTGAAAAGGAAGTCAAGTCTGACTTTGATCAAGACAACTCTGATACTGAGACAAAGCAGCTTATTTAGCAGAATATTGAACAGGGGTTTTAGAAGTTTGGACTTTTGATATTAAATTCTGTTCGTTATCTTCATATGTTTTAAAATTTATGGATACGTAATTACCTTTTCAAGGATATTTTTCTTATATGCTTTTATCCACAATGAGTGAGCTGTAACGAATACATTTCAAATCATCATCGCTTTTTTGATTACTTTGTTGTATTTTAACGTATAAACAATTTTGTTTTTTGTTCACAACTTTTTTGATTAAACATATTACACACTTAAGTAAATTTAAATACCTTTTCGAAAGCTTATCCTTGTTGCTTGAACCATTTAAGGAAAACATAAAAATCTTAAGCTGAAAGAATATGTCGTTTATTGCTAAGATAAATGACAAGGGGTGAAACAAAAGGATGTAGCATATACAATTTTTTTTACAATACTGTGCATTAAAAGCTGGGAAAGGCCAAAAAATGAATAATTTCAATTTAGAGATGTTACAATTACAACTTCGTGTTTATTCTAGATATTGAATAAATAAAGATTGCAAAGATTGTGCAAATAGAAGGTGGCGTACAAAAGGAGGAGCCACTGGAACGTTACTAACACGCATATATTAAAAACGAATTTAAATGAAATGCAAAGCGCAGAATGTAAAAACACAGTTTACATGAGGTATAAAAGCATCACATCTACATGGTAAGGATAGTCAAAACAAAATTAATTTCCTCAATTACAGTTTCACTAACATAATTATACAATGTACATGGAAGGACGAAAGGAAGTGTTAGTTAAAATTACCATAACCCCGTATCTCTACTGGATTTAAATGCTGGCATGAGAGCTCGATCCTAATTAAAGTTGAACCTAATATTAAAAAATACATCTTAGAAAAGAAAACAACAAAATTTAATTGAATTGACATTAACAATCGTAAAAACCTAGCATATAAATATTTTCTGAAAAATAAATTTTGTATATTTACAACTTTTTTTTATTAACCAAATTACACACTTAAAATGGCTTTTTTGAAGCTTGTTCTTGATGTCCGAACCATTTAAGGAAAACAGAAAAACACTGTATGTATATGTCATTTATTGCGAAGATAAATGACAAGGGTGAAACAAAAGGATGTAGAATATATAATTACTTACAATCATGTGCATTAAAAGCTGAAATAAGGCCAAATTATGAATAATTTCAATTTAGATATGTTACAATTGCAACTTGCTTATCTCAGCAATAATTGTATACTGAGTAAATAATGAATACAAATTTTGCGCAGCAAGATGATGATACAAAAAGAGGACACAAGTAATACTTAAGTTTAATAACAAATTGGCATATTCTTTTTATTTTTTATATTCTTATACATTTTTTGTGTATATTTGTATTTTGACACAAATATTAGATCTAGAGTGGTTATTGTCCACTGGTACCATAATTGTTTTGTTGACTGTGGGTTTAACTAGATGGTACTTTTGTTCAATTTGAGTTGATTTTTTTTTTTTGGAATAGGGTTATAAAAGTTTAAGGTCAATAAATTGACTGTATCCGCCGCCGACTGATATAAGAATAAATGTTGAATTGTGTTCACAAATTAAAGATTGATTGATTGTATATTGTTCACAAAGATAGAGTTATCTAAGTCATCACTGGTGTCAGATCAGTTTACTGTAGACAAAGATATTTTGCCATCCAACACAGATATGTGCAATAGAATCCATAGGAGGACCTTGATCATTTTGAGTGTGTTTCCATAGGAGGAGCTTGATCATTCTGAGTGTGTTACTTGCCCTTGCTGTTGGGTGTGGACCTTCAACAGATCCCCTTCCTTCATTTGGGTGGCATATTTTTCTACAATGCGTTCAAGCACGTAGTAAATTTCATACATGAGAATGTAATATGGTACTCGTTGTACCCCACCTATTTATATTCACGGAATAATTAGACAACATGCTTACATCTTTATTATGTTAAAGGTGGAATTGATTCTTGATACAATGAAAGTTGTCTATTTATCAGTACATCATTTTAAGAATTAGTAAAAACAGGTCTGGTATTATTAAAATTAACTGCAGCTCATAATAGATAAAAATTGAAAAAGAATATTCTTCTTTCAGTTTAACTTAGAAATGAGCTGAAATAAACAAACTTAGCTACACTTGTCATGAAAATTACAGCAACCACATTTTATAAATAAAAAAAAGATCTTCCAATTCCAGAAGTTGTAAGTAAGATTAAAAAAGCAAATATGTTGCATTCACATAAATGAAATAGAGATCAATAGGGACCCAAAATGACCCGACAATTTGGTCCACATTCATATTCAATTAGTAGCAGCTCATAATAAATAAAAGTTGAAAAAAAAGCCATTATAGTTCAACTAAGAAATGAACTAAAAAACAAATCTTGCATCAATTGCACATTTACTATAGGTAATCACATTTTTAAATAAATAAACAAATCTTTCCAATTCCTGCAGTTGTCAGGGTGAATTAAAAATGAAAAAACCTTTTGCCTTTGCAAAGATCTATAGAAATTAATACAAACTGTCCCAAACAGCTCACTATGAAGCCAGTTGGCATAATGTGGAGATCATATAGGAAGAAATTTGATTAAATATAATCATCAGCACTGTCTGACAAAAATTAATATCGGCACAAAGTCATCATTACCACAACATGTAGCATAATAATCATTTAATATTGGTTAATCTCCATACCAAGCCTAACAATATGTGTGCAATGCTCTCGTAATTGATACTTATCTAGACCTGGTTCTTTGCCTATCCTGTTAAATGGATGAACATGTTTGTAGACAATTGTCCAGGAACCGGTAATCATGTATATGGTTGCTGTCGTCTAGCTGGACTCCGTCACAGACCAAATACTTCCTATATGAGTGACATACCTAATCAGAGAAGAGAAATGTTACACAACTTAAAACAGTTTTCGAAGTAACAAAAGAGAACACCTCCTCATGTTTTCTCTTTTTTTATTTTCTAAAGGATCTTTTTGACAGAATAACTTTCGAAGTAGGATGAAGTTTGGAAGATCAAAGATTTCCCTGCATATTTACCATTGAACAACCTTTTTCGTTTTAATCTCATAAAAGAAAAAAAATGCATGTACATGTGAAACATAATGCGATCCTTTAAGGAGGAAGACATAACATTTTCAAATAATTATCAGTTACAATTATAACAATTACCGGAAAAACCCCTTGATTGGTTAACGAGCTTTGATTCTGATATTAAAGTATTTAACTTTTTTGTCAAGAATATTTTTAGTTTCTAACCATTGCTTAATTAAAAATCAAAACAGTAGTTGCGGATCAATGTGCTTCTTTTGGCCCTACAATGCATTTAAGGTAGGACAAAACACCCGTGGATTCTATTGTAACCCATTTCGTAAAAAAGTACTGGAGGAAAAAAGAGTAATATTACTATACTGACAACAATGAATGATCCCTGAAAGAAAAATAATAAGTGTTGGCAAGATTGCGTGATATTTTGTTAAAAAATCAGAGAATCCTATATATTGGTCATTTGGGAGCTTACATTTTGGAATGTGTTTACATGTGTGCAATAAACAAGCATGTAACAGTCTGTTATAAAATGCAATGCAACTTTTGTTCAATAAATAGTAGAGGGCTGATATTTGGACACATATATAAGAAGTCTGTATTCTTTAGGAACCACAAAGGTCAAGGTCATATCAAGAGGTCAAAGGTCAAATATTGTACCGTCATCCACTGAATCTTTTAGTTTTTTGACATTGAATTTTTTTTATATCACTAAAATATCTGAAACCACCAGTTCATTTTCTTTTTTTTTTATTCTAGGACCCATTTGAATCATTCTCTTGATTTTGTGTAAAAAATTGAATTATACGTTTTTTCTATAAGAAAACTTAAACTATCAGGATTTTTTGATTTTATATCAAATAGTCAATATTAATTTTGAGACACCCTGTATTGATTGTTTAAACTATGTATGAGTTACCTTGCAAGCTTGAACTACGTACGAGCTAATTATACTCGATATCCGGTATACCCCTGCCGAAAACCCCACATGTGTATTTTGAACTTTGAAGCAGAATCATTCCGCCTGTCAAAACTAAAGACAAAAGTAACAATCGGAAGAGGCCGATGGGTTCGCCTGCTCGGGCAAAGGGGAGAAAAAATCGTCGCACTCGAGGCCCCGCTGAGGCACAGTCACAGTGCCCGGAGGAGGTACCAGTTCCCGAGGAGCCCCAAGGCCATCCCCCCGCAGACGTGAGCATCTCGACAACTGACACCCCGGGTGAGTCACTTATTCAAATGACAGGTTTACCACAGCAGCAAACTTGCTCAGCGGACAGTATTGCCGCTCATGTACCTCATAAACTTAAACAAAAAATATGGGAGGGGCAATTTGTAGATCTTTCTCTCTTGCTAAAGTCGGCCACAGAATTAGATGAATGGGATTCACAAGGGGAAGTCCATTTCAAAAATGGCCATTTATGTGTTGTAAAGCGAAAACAGAACTCGCAATTGAGTATAGAAAAGTGGACTTCAGCTTTTATGATCTATATGAGTATCATTTTCGAACACAGCGAAGCAAAAGCTCAAGAAATGCTAAAATATACGCGATATATCCGCATGGCAGCTAGTCGTTCGTACAATTGGTACAAGTATGACGAACAATTGCGATTACGCAGAGTTTCAAATCCAACAATGTCGTGGAGGGAAATCCATAGCGAATTCTGGCTCATGTATGTCAGCAACCAATCAAATCTCAATTATACATCACAGCCTCAAGAATATTTAGGTCAATATTCCAAGAACACAACACAACATTTCCCCCCTAAAACAACACAGACAAGTGCAAAAAATCCTTTAAGCTGTAATATATACAACCAGGGTAAATTCTGTACTTTCTTCCCCAGATGCCGCTACAGCCACACTTGCAGTCAATGCAGAGGAAATCATCCCAGAGTCAACTGCGCAAGGAAATAAACATCTCTATACATTAGGACATACTCCTATTAAATTTGATTCACTTAAAACACATTTAAATGGTTATGAACATTCTCAATTTCTGCTCCAGGGTTTTAAATTTGGGTTTAGGCTGCAGTACCTGGGTCCTAGGAGAGCGCGGTTAAGTAAAAACCTCCCAAGTTTATACAAAAATTTGTCCACAGCGCACCAAAAAATCAAAAAAGAATTACAACTCAACCGAGTAGCTGGGCCTTTCCCACAACCTCCCTTTTTAAACCTTCAAGTGTCACCATTGGGTCTGGTCCCTAAAAAAGATGGGGACATGAGGTTAATACATCATTTATCATACCCTCATGAAGATTCAGTCAATTTTTTCATAGATGCCACAGAATGTTCAGTCAAATATTCGAGTATTGACGAGGCAGCAGAAATGATTGCAGAGCTAGGGAAGGGAACTTTTTTGGCAAAGTCAGACATAAAATCTGCTTTTAGGCTTTTACCTATTTCCCCAGCTGATTTTGATCTGTAAGGTTTTAAGTTAGAAGGGTTCTTTTATTTTGACAAAATGGTCCCATTCGGTTCCTCAATAAACTGTGCGCTTTAGGAGAAATTTGCACATTTTTTGCACTGGTTAACAGAACAACATACAGGCAATAAGTTTATCTTGCATTATTTAGACGATTTTCTTTTTTGTGGATCCAGATTTTCTTCAGTTTGCCACGATACCCTTTACAAGTTTAAGTCCCTTTGCGAAGAATTGGGTGTTCCAATAGCGGAAGACAAAACTGTTGGACCATCTACTCAACTTGTGTTTCTCGGTATCCTTTTTGACACCAAAAACATGACTATGGCCTTGCCAGCAGAAAAGTTGAATAAGTTAAGGCATGTCATCAATTTCTTCCTCGCCTAAAAAAAGGTTACTTTGCAAGAACTTCAATCGCTCATAGGTCAACTTAATTTTGCTTGTAGGGTGGTTGCCCCTGGTCGTGCCTTTTGCAGGCGCCTCATTAATGCAACAATCGGAGTTTCAAAACCTCACCACAAAATTAGGCTTACTAAAAATATTAAGCAAGACCTCCTTATTTCGCAAGTATTTCTGAGATCATATAATGGTGTTTCAGTGATCAAAACCCAATTTTTAGATAACCAAACCATACAACTTTTCACCGATAGTGCAGGGGGAAGCAATGGAGGATTCGGCATTTATTTTGGGGGGAAATGGGCATTTGGGTCCTGGCCTCAGTCTTGGGCTAATTTGGGTATAACCACAGACATGACATTTCTTAAAATGTTTCCAGTTATGGTAGCTATTACACTATGGCATGGGTGCTTACAAAATACAAAAATCCTTTTCCACATTGACAACATGGCAGTAGTACATGTCCTTAACACACTATCTTCTAAATCAGACAGAGTTATGAATATTGTCAGAAAGCTTGTATTACTTTTACTACAATATAATATTCAGATAACAGCAAAATACATACACACAAAAGAAAAAACACTTTCTGCTCCAAAACCTGGGTGTCTCCCCCCACTTGCTCCAAAAGCAAGGGGTTTAAAAACAGGATTTAAATTAAAGTGTAAATTAAATAAAAAAATTAAACGTCAGGACACAGTTAACTGTTGTCAGTATTCTAATGTTTTTGGCATAGTGGGGCCCACACCGGGTATGGCTAGGGCCACATTCACCTCACCTGAGTGAGGGGATGCTACAGGCTGGTGCATGTAACAATTGGGCTTGTGTATGCCTCCCTCATGCAAATTTTAAACCAGGTAGCACTGCAGGAGACAGGGTGAGAAGGGCGGGTCATGCCGGCCTCCTTAGAACGCTGGTGATCGTTCAGGCTTGGGCACTGATGTTCACGCAGGCCCCCAGTGTGTCCCTTTCATGTGAAGTTAAGCTGGTGCACTGGACGGCTCCCCAGTTTCCCCACAAAAAATGTTAATGCGGCCAACATCCACCAATTTATATTATTAACATAATAAATGTTGAAACGGTCGTTTGTTTTCAGTTGTCTCTCAGGAATTAGCATGTAGAAAACAATGATAACAAAGTGTGTTTTAAAAGCAAGGTCTTATGGGAATTTGGTCTTTTTGGTGAATTCAATAATTAATCCGATATTCATATGTGAATTTTCAGTTTCTGACACAGTGTAAACTATGTTCTTTTTTACTAAATATTTTACCCAATTTTTCCAGTTTCAATGTGACTTACTGATTTAAAGTAACAAAAAAGTTATCTTTTATTAAAACTATTACACAAATTTGCAATAGATCAATAGAAAATTCTAAAATAATGCTCATTCTCAAGTCGAACGCTGATTTCACAAACTTCTTTCATGGGTCTGAAAGGCCATATTTCAGAATATGTGGGCAAAAATTTTGCGGTTGAATTTCTTTCATATCATATATAAAGAAAGATTCTATATCCAAGAATAAAATATCAAAGTTTCAGAAAAATTGAATTTGAGGAAAAATTTGACCTATTTTTTTGGTCCTACCTTAATATAACATTTTTGGATTGAGTAATTTGGGAATATGTGTAATGGGACACCATAAAGTATAAGTCTATTTATAAAAAAGGCCTTTTAAATTTGTGACTAAGAAAAAGTTTCCAATTACCTTGAACTTATCAATTAATTGACATTTTTGCACTCAAAGAATGTTTTTTTCTTTGATTTGAAAAATGAACAATCAAAGAATTAAATCTTTTTTCATTATTTGTGTGTAGACATTATAAAAAATAGAATGTTACAAGGACGTGCGTTTTTCTTTAGTTTCTTCAAATATGTAACTCAATATAAGAATTTCAGCTATTTAAATGTTACAAGCATTTATTGAGTGAAAAAAATTCAACGATTATAGACGGCAATATTATATGGTAATTACATAGAAAGAAGTTTTCAATTTAATAATTTACAATTTAACATCAATGTAATATAAAACTCTATTAAACCTTATTTTCTTTTAAACTGGGG